GTTATACAGGTGATACTATTCCCAAGTTACACATAAACTGAGGCTTAGTGAGGTTATCTGAGTTCTTTAAGGTCTCCTGGATTTTAGTGTAAAACTAACAGCTCATTCTGTTCCACATCTCTTTAATTTAATTTAAAGAAATGGAAACATTTTCTTCAGTTAAAATTTTAATGAAGTCCCTTAAATGAAATCAGTAAAAGGGGGATTGTATATTTGGCTGAAAGCAGAGAGTATCAGAGGAATGTCTGTGTTGCCTGTATGGATCACAACAAATTGTGGTTATTGAGAAGAATGGGAATCCCAGAACACTTGTGCTCATGTGAAACCTATACCTGGCCAGGGAAACACTGCATGGCTTAAAATCAGGAAAGGAGTGTACTGGGAATGCTGCCTGCCTCTATACCTATTCAGTCTATATGCTTAACAGATAATTTGGGAAGCCTGACTTTGTGAGGAGGAATGTGGCATGAGAATTGGAGGATGACTGTAGATGATACAACCTTGCTTGATGAAACTGAGGAGGACCTGAACATATGCTGTGGAAGGTTAAGGACTGTAGTCTCTAATATGGATTGGAGCTCAGCATCAAGAAAACAAAGATTCTCGCCACTGGGGATGGAGAAGGGATTGACGTTGTTAATAATTTTACCTTATATGGTTTCACAGTCAACACTTTTGGCACCAGCAGTAAGGAAATCAAAAGGCAAATAACATTAGGAAAAATCTGCTGTCAGGGATCTCTCCAGAGTGCTAATGAGCAGTCATGTCAGTCAGAGAACTGGACAGTGACTAAAGATAACAGAAGAAGAATCAGTGCTTTTGAGTTGTGGTGCTGGAGAACGGTGTTGAACATACAATGGACTGCCAAGAGAACAAATGGGTTTATCATGGAGAGGGTGAAACTAACTTGCTCCTTGGAGGCAAGGATTTTGAGGCTTGGTCTCAAATACTTAGGTCATGTTGGAAGGAAGGACCAATCCTTGGAGAAGGACCTAATGCTTGAAAGGGTGGGTAGACAGCTCAGGAAAGGAAAACCCCTAATAAGATGTATTGACACGATAACATGGGGTAATGGAGGTAGGTGTGCAGGAGTCAGTGAGATTGGCTTAGGGTAGGACAGTTTCAGAGCAATCGTGTGAGTTGTAAGTGGCTCAGTAGCACAGAACAATAACATATGGGGCTGGAACTCTGTTATCTCAGCTCTGTGATAGCCTTTAGACATTGCTTTGGAATCCTTTAGATTCTCCTAAAAGTATTAGATCATGAGCTTAACTTTAAAATTTTGAGATCCTAGCTTCCTTGAATGTCACAGTTATAGTGTGTACATTTCTCTTATGTTTCAGTTTTCCCCAGTGTCATCCTTGTTATCCCTTGGTGATATTTTTTATTTATATGGATATGTGTTCAAATAATGATGAATTTTCTACCTTTTTGTTCCTTATTTCAGAGTGTTTTAATTGAAATTAGAGTGGGATCTATAGTATGGTTTACTTTGAAACATTTTCTAATACCTCTCTTTTTTACTTTTCAGATTCTTTTTGTGGCCAGATGGGTTTGTATGGACAAACTTGTCCATCTGTAACTTCATTAAGGTGAGTTCTTGTCTTTGTTATTGGAATATTAATTTTTAATTATGCTAATCAGGCCATATTACAGTGGATTTCAAGAGGTTCATAACAACATTCTAGTTTTGTCAGTACAGTAAGTTTGGTAATACATTTTTGGTAATGGGATCTGTAACTAACTTACCCATTTTTTTTTTAAATGGACCTGTTTTCTACATGTCTTATTTAGAAAATGGATAGTTAATTAACTGTCATATTAAAGAAAACTTAGAAATACTATTTTAAACCTCTTTCAAAAGAATGATATAAAAATCATGTCTAGAGTACCCTCCTTTATAATAAATAAAGCAAATAAAATGTAAAATTTAGGAACTAATTTGATATGTATAACTCAGTTGTTTTACATTTTTGAAGTCTCCACATCTTTTTTACGTGTTAAATCTGTCTGAAATTAAATGAGTGAATAACATGAGAGACTTTTCTACTTGCTTTAGGTGTTCTTATTTTACTCTGCTGAGAAATTGCCAAGCTTTCACAAAACACAGCTTAACTAATTGCTGTAGGGTTGGAACCAATTCATAGCTGACTTCCCTGTAGGTTACACAGGCATTAAATGACATGGGAGGATGTTGTTCCTCTTTCTCATATAGAGCATTTGTTGAGTTTGAACCACTTGCCTTTGGGTTGGCAGGGTGGCTCCTTTGCCCCCTAAGCCACTACAATTTTCTTGTCACAGAACACAGCCTAAAACTAATGCCTCCAGAAACTCTATGAACTTTGATAAATGTCGATAGTTGTAGAGGGGCTTCAGGCCTTTTGTTCATAGGGTCACTATAAGTCATGCTCAACTCAGGGCAGTCAGCAACATCATCTAGTGTTATAATAGAGATACCACACGTGGATGGCTTTAGCAAACATAAATACATTATCTTACGGTGTAGGAAACAGATTGTTCAAATCTAAGGTGTTCAGGATGCCAGCTCTAAGGGAAAGCTGTCTGTCAGTTCTGGAGGAAAGTTCTTGTTTTCTTCAGCATCTGCGTGTCCAGATAATCCTTGAAGAGGTACATGAGTGCCTTCCCCAGTAGCAATGAGCTTCTGACTATAGGGTCCTAATTCCATAAGGATGCACTCTACTCCTGGCTATTTTTTCTTGATCGTACTGAGGTCTTCCCTCTCTGCTTGCTTTCCTTTCTTTTTATCTCTTGTGAGATACAAGTGTTACAGGCCGAACTCTAGGAAATCTTCCCTTAGGTCACCACCACCCCTCCGCCCAGTTGTAGTTTATTTGAGAAATAGGTCAAAAAACATGCAGTATTGTTGTTTTTTTGCCCCCTGTGTTCTGATGACTGCCTCCTGGTTCAAGTATAGATTTTGCATAAGCACAGTCTCATGTTCTTGGAGTCCTATTCTCAAGGTTAGTCACAGTTTGTTGTGATCCACACAGCTAAATGTCTTTGCATAGTCAATGAAACACAGAGAGACAGTCTTCTGGTCTTCTCTGCTTTCAGCTAAGATATATCTAACATTGACTGTAATGTTCCTAGTGCCCCAGCCTCTTCTAAACCTAGCCTGCACGTCTTGTAGTTTTCTATTTATGTGTTGTTTCAGTTGTTGCTGGATAATTTTCTGCAGGATCTTGCTTGCATGTGACATTAATGATACTTTATGATAATTTCCGTTTTCCGTCAGATCACCTTTTTTTGGAATAGGAGTAAATATGGATCTCTTTCAGTCATTTGGCCAGGTGTTTGTCCTTCATATTTCTTGGCACAACCTGGTGAGTGCATCCAGGGTAGCATCTGTCTGTTAAAATATGTCAGTTGTTATGCTGTCAATTCTTGGAACTTTTGTTTTTTGCCATTTCCTTCAGAGCAGGTCGAACTTCCTCCTTTATCACCATAGACTCTTGACAATATGTTGTTTCCTGAAATACGAAATTCTTTTGTGTCAGTCAATTCTTTTTATTATAGTGACTCTGTATACTCTCCATCTTTTTTTGGATGCTTCTTGGGTCATTCAACAGTCTGCTCACAGCATCCTTAAATACTGCAACTCGAGGCTTGAATTTGTCTTCACTTCCTTTAGCTTAAGAAATGCTGAGTGAGTTCATCCCTTTTTCCAACTCCAGCTCTTTGCACATTTCATTGCAATTCTTTGCTTTGTCTTCCCATGGTGTTCTTTGAAATCTGTTCAGCTCCTTAACTTCTTGATTTCTTCCCTTTGCTTTGGCTTCTTGGCGCTCGCTCTGATGTAATGTTTAGAGTCTCTTCTGACATCCATTTTGGTCTTTTCTTCTTACATATTTTTTAAGAACCTTTTGCATTCTTCCTGGATGATATTCTTGATATCCTCCCATAGCTCATGATCTTCACTCATTAGTATTTAAGGCCTCAAACCTGTTCCTCAGGTAGCCTTTAAATTCAGGAGGGATAGACTCAAGGTCAAGTTTTGGTTCTTGTGGATTTGATTTTTTCTAGCTTCAGTTTGAACTTGTATAAGAGTATTTATACTGGCATAGTTTTCAGAGCTGATAGTGAACTTCTCATATTACTGAGGAATAATGATGTTTAAGGACTAACATATGTCTGATTCAGGCCATAGTCTTTCTGATTACTTGCTATGGTGAGCACTGGATAGTGAATAAAAATGACAGAAAAAGAGTTGATGGTTTGAGCTGTGGTGTTGGAGAAGAGTCCTGAACATTCTGTGGACTGCCAAGAGAACAAACAAATGTGTCTTGGAGAGGTTGCAGCCAGAGTGTTCTTTGGAGGTAAGAATGATAAGAGTTCACCTCACATACTTTGAGTATGTTGCCAGAAGAGGCTGTTCTTGGAGAAGGACCTGATGCTGGGAAGCTTAGAGGTTTGTTGAAGGAGAGGAAGATTCTTGACCAGGTGGATTGCCATGGTGACTGCTGCAGTGGGCTTTTGTGTGTCAGGGAGTGTGCGAATGACACACCTAGAACAGGGTTTTTGTTCATTGGGTCACTCTGAGTTGTATTTGTCTCAGTGGCACCTAACAACAGCAACAACAGATTTTTCCCACAGATATAATCAATCTGATTCCTGTGTAGGGCATCAGGTGAGGTCCATGTGTACAGTTGCCGTTTGTGTTTCTTTTAAAAGGTGTTTGCAATGAATAAATCATTAATGATACAGAATTCTGCCTCCAGCCTCATTTCTGTCACCAAGTCCATATTTTACGTCTACTGATTCTTTTTCCTTGTTCCCAACTTTTCCATTCTAGTCACTCATTATTACTAAAGTATCTTGATTGCATGTTCAATTGATTTTCAGTTGCAACAGTTGGTAGAAGTCATCTATTTCCTCCTCTTTGGCTCTGGTTGTTGATGCATAAATTTGAATGATAGTGAAATTAACATGTTCCTTGTATGTGTATGGATATTATCCTGTCACTCACAACTTGATGTTAAAAGAGAAGAAAAGAATTAACTGTTTCAGGAGGAGTATGGTGTACTTTGTAACAAGTTACACTTCTAACCCAAGGGCTGCACATCTCCAATGGTTTGAATCCACATGCAGCCCTATGGGAGAAAGATGAAGAGTTGCTGTGAGTTTGAACTGGGATAACTTTTGGAATGTTGTAATGAACCATGTTTTGTTGCTGTTGTTATGTGCCAGTGAGGTTACCTGGGACTCGTGAAAAATAAGTATAACAGCCAGAACAATTGAGGAAGTGCCAAGAAAGGAGACTTCTTAAGTATTCTAGGAGCTCTGAGGAAGAGAGTCTGGCTGCAGCAGAGTAGGAATTGCTTAGTTTTGAGGGGGAGAAAAACAATAAATTGTGTACTTTTATATACTATTATGATATTTCTTTCCATGAGAATGCATCTTTCATCTTGAAAAAGAGATTCTACTGGAAATTAAATTGGAGAGATTGCTTTGCTACTATGCTCATGCGTTGTCTCCCCATCTAGCAAGTGGCATCAGTATACAGAAAAGAATTTTATTTTAGAAAGTGAACATCTTCTGTAATTTTCATAAATTTCCTAAGACTAAACAGTGATTTCTACTTCATTTGTGGTAAGGAATCATGTTACCCCCTTTTTGTGAATATTAAAAACTTTTGATTTGATCAGTCAGGGTGTTTTGCAGACTTAGATCTTTCATGGATGACATATCCTTAATGATAATTTAGTTATTGGTTATAATGAAGCTATTAGATATTAACTGTATTTTACATTTGTTTTTACATTTGTTTATTTGAATAGTTATGTTTATGCTAGACTTGCATATAACATTGGGTTATAGATGATATATACTTAATATATTTCCTTGCTAGTATCATAAGACAGAAGGCATATCATGAATTATTTCTTCATTTGCTCACTGTATTTTAATTCTAGTATATCATATTCTAGGACCAAATTTCTTAGCTTTCATTACCAATTTAGCGTTTATTGAATTATACAACTTCGTAGACTTCTATGAAGTTGAATTCTAGCATTTAGTATGCATATACATCTTTGGTGTCTTTAGGTCCATTCCGTAAGGTCCATTTCTGAAACAGAGATTTCTCATCCTCCAGTGTCTATATAGAGGACCATTGTCTTTGATTTTGAGATAAAGGATGGTGGAAAAATGACTATTTGGAAGGACTAAACTCTGTTACTTAAAACAACAATAGAATTTATGTTCCTGTAGTATCTTTCCTAAACTAGAAATGACTTACTGCACAAATAGGAATAGAGTCAGAACTCTTAAAATAACTTAGACTCACTTATTAGAATAAAGACTAAATAAAGAATACGTATGACTTGTCTGTTTACTTTTACCTCTCTAAATATATGCTTCCTATATATCTGCTTGGGAGCTCTGGCTGTATATTCTGTAGGGAGTTGCATTGCCTACCTCACATAGTTCTGTTTCTCTTTTGTCGTTCTAATCCATCAACTGCTCCTTGGGAGGAAGAGGAGCAATCTTTCATGTGATTTAGTGTCTGAAAAACTCACTGCAGGGTCATACTTGACTTGATGGCAGTAAGCTTGAACTTTTGACCTGATAC